CTTCACAAGACATTAATTGATGGACTAGAGTGGTGTGGATTATTGTGATGTTTCTATCAGCTGTTTGGACTCTCATTCTGACGGCACCCATTCACTGCAGAGGATCCATTGGTGAGCAAGTGATGGAATGCTACATTTCTCCAAATCTGTTCTGATGAAGAAACAAACTCATCTACATCTTGGATTGCCTGATGGTGAGTAAATCTTTAGCAAATTTTCATTTTTGGGTGAACTAATAATTGAGACAGTGCTGTAAGCATTTTGCATTGCTTTCATAGAAATACTGTACCGGATAGTGATCAAACAGACCCATAAAGACCACAGGTCTAATAATAAAAGGAGCGTTTTACATAATGTGGATAAGTTTACATCAGTGTAGAGTTTCTTTTGGAAATTATTCAAGCAGTCTTTGTATCAGTGTAATTCTAGTCCATCTGCTGTATCCTACTGACCCCGATAAACTCACTTTCAAAACTTCTGCTCGGCTAAATTTACTCTGACAACACAAGATAAAAGGTTTCTTAAAATAAATCATGGAGAAAACTGGATAAATACAGAGCACAAAATACAATCCTTTAACACTGACATGTGTGTGCAGATTTAACCTGAGATGATCAGTATCAGCTGCAACTCAAGAGAGCAGCAAATAAATAAATGGGGCAGTTGTGGCCTAATGATTAGCGAGTCAGACTTGTAACCCAAAGGTTGCGGGTTTGAGTCTCGGTACCAGCAGGGATTGTAGGTGGGGGGAGTGAATGACCAGCGCTCTCTTCCACTTTCACGACTGAGGTGAGACCAAACCCCCAACTGCTCCCCGGGCGCCGCAGCAAAAATGGCTGCCCACTGCTCTGGGTGTGTGTTCACAGTGTGTGTGTGTGCACTTGGATGGGTTAAATGCAGAGCACAAATTCCCAAGTATGGGACACGATACTTGGCCACACATCAATTTCACTTCACTCACTTATAAAGAGGAAGCATTATGTGACCAAACAGGTTCACCAGGATGCTTTATTGTTTGACACCAAAGAAGGAAGACAAAAAAGGTTTGGATAAAAGAAAGATGTGCTCTTTTATGTTCCTGTCTACACTAGAATATTTGAATAGTTTGAAGGGTAAAAATTATTTGGATACTGAGGTCATGCTTAAAAAATGTCTGAACATCATGCATGCATGTGTCAAATGCTGCAGGATGTTTTCTCTGCGCTAACTTTACTTTTCTTCATCATTTTTGCTCAATGTGTTTGAATTGGCTGGTGTTTTGGTGAGACCCTTGAGCAAGGCACTGAACCCTCAAAGGCAAAAATGGCTGCCCACTGCTCCGGATGTGTGTGTGTGTGTGTGTGTGTTCACTACTCACTGCTGTGTGTGTGCACTTGGATGGATGAAATGCAAAGCACAGATTCCAAGTATGGGACACGATACTTGGCTACACGTCACGTCATTCACTCACTTTTTTAAATTGCCTAAAATGTCCAGGTTAGGGTTAGTCCTTCTGCATTATATGCACGTGTATTTCAATTGCTTTGACGTTCTCTGTAAATCCCGCCTTCTCACACACTATGATTGGTCGATAATGTACAACGCCTACACCAGGGGTGTCCAACCCTGCTCCTGGAGAGCTACCATCCTGCAGACTAGTTCCAACCCTGCTCCAGCACACCTGTCTGTAATTATCAAGCAACCCTGAACACCTTGATTAGTTGGTTCAGGTGTGTTTGATTGGGGTTAGAGCTGAAATCTGCAGGATGGTAGCTCTCCAGGAGCAGGGTTGGACAGCCCTGGCCTACATGCTATTGGTCAGACTACTTTTTAGTCATTCTTCAGCAAGTATAAGCACAATCGAAAAACAAAGCCAAAACCCGGACAACACTTGATCTATTGATTTATCATTTGAAACCCAACAAACATTCGTGAAATGGTTTGAGAAGTGTGGAAAGTTCATATCTGACCTAGCGTGGACCTGCGGAGCTGGTAGGACTCGTGCAGATCTTGTAAACAGCAGTAGCGTTTGGTCAGCTGGATCTTCTGATGGTCCAGTTCAGGCTGCAGGTTGAGGTTCTGCTCCGCCAGGCTGCGGTTACTGGCGATCGTCAGCTCTTTATTCTGCTGCATTTCCTGCATCTGTGACAACAAGAGCGCAAAGTCAGAAACCAGAGAAACTCCAGCCTCCTGGATCAAATGACTTATTTCCCTAATACCCCAATATTGAAATCATCATGCTACATTTTTTTTTCCTTAAACACAGATGACCAAAATAGTCATACAGTATAAATGGAAACTCTTGCATTCATTCTGCATGAAAAACTTACAGTTTATGATTAGTGTCTATTTCAAGGATCTTTTTAACTATTTAATAATGCAAAGCAAGATTACTTATGCAGCACATGCAAAATGGAAAAAAAAAATCAAACCATCTAAAAGGACCTATAATTACAATATAATTTAATAAAATGTACTGCTTAATAAGAGATTAAAATAGCCAAGTGAATTTTTTATATATTTTATATTATATATATATATATACATATATATATATATATATATATATACATATACATATACATACATACATATACATACATATACATACATACATACATATACATACATATACATACATACATACATATACATACATATACATA